ACGAAGGTGTGCCCCAGGGTAGTGTTCTGAGCACTACTCTTTTTCTTGTTGCCCTCAATGGTCTTCTTTCCTCTCTTCCTTCTGGTGTCTTCTCCGCTCTCTATGTCGATGATCTTACCCTTTGTTGTCAGGGTGATGATTCGCCTCTCCTTCAACGCCGGCTTCAACTTGCAATTGATGCCGTGTCGTCTTGGGCCACAGGTCATGGCTTCAAGTTCTCTACTTCTAAGACTTGTGCCATGACTTTTACGCGGAAACGGGTTGTTCTTCGTCCCTCTTTGTCACTTTATGGTCATCCCCTTGAATACAAAGATTCCGCGAAGCTTTTGGGGTTATTCCTTGACACTCGTTTGTCTTGGTCTCCCCATATCTCTTACCTCCGTGTTGAGTGCTCTAAGGCCCTTACCCTCCTTCGGGTCTTGTCCCATACTTCTTGGGGGGCAGATAGGCGCGCACTCCTTGCTTTACATTCCTCTCTCGTCCTGTCTAAGCTCGATTATGGTTGCCCTGCTTACTCGTCTGCTTCTCCTTCTACTCTTCGCCGTCTTGATGCTTTGCACCATACTGGGTTGCGCCTCAGTTCTGGTGCCTTTCGTTCGACTCCCATCCTTAGCTTGTATGTTGACACTGGCTTCCTGTCTCTCCAGGACCGCCGTGATCGCTACTGTCTTCGCTATCTTGCGCGGTCCTTGCAACATCCTTCCTCTCGCCTCTGTCGTGCTTTAACTTTTACCCCTCCTGCGGTTCCTGTTCCTCTTCACCACCTCCCTCTTTCTGTCCGGTTATCTCGCCTACAGGATTCTCTCTCCGTTCGTATTTCTGATGTTTCTCCTCGTGTTGTTCCTTCTTTGCCCCCGTGGAGGGTCCCTCTTCCGCGGTTTTGTACTTCCTTGACCCGTATCACTAAAGCTTTTACCCCTCCTACAGTTCTAAATTCTAAAACGCCTTTTCCTCGAGCACTTTTCTTCTCACTCCCGCTCCGTTTCTGTCTTCACCGATGGGTCTAAGTCAGCGGACGGTGTTGGCTACTCTGTTGTTTTTCCTGATCGCACTTATATGTGTCGCTTGCCTCCGGAGACTGGCATCTTTACAGCAGAACTTTATGCTATTCTCTATGCTCTTCGTCTCCTGCTTTCTCGTTGTCAGTCTTCCTTTGTGGTTGTTGTTGACTCTCGTAGTGCCCTCATGGCTCTCGGGTCCTTTAATCCGGTTCATCCAGTAGTTGTCGAGATCCAGCATTGGCTGTTTCTCGTTCACAGTAAATTTAAGTCGGTTGAGTTTTGTTGGGTTCCCAGCCATATTGGTGTGTCTTTAAATGAGCGTGCGGATGCTGCTGCTAAGGAAGCTGTCCACTCTTGTCCCATCTCTCGTAAAGGCATCCCGTATTCCGACTTTTACCCAGTTATCCATTCCTCAGTTCTTACCCGTTGGCAGGCTTCTTGGTTGTCTGTTACTGGTAACAAGCTACGTACTCTTAAATGTTGTGTTTCCTCGTGGCCGTCCTCCTTCCACCGTAACCGGCGGTGGGAAACTGCCCTGGCGAGGTTGCGTATTGGCCATACTCGCTTAACCCATGGTCACTTGATGGAGCGCCGCCCTGCTCCTTATTGTCCTAGTTGCATTGTCCCTCTTACGGTCGTGCATGTCCTTATTGAATGTACTGTCTTCCAGGACGAGCGTGTGTCTTGCTTTCCGACCGCCCCTCGCGGTCACCTGTCCCTCGATAGAATTCTTGGTGACTCGGATACTTTTGATATCGTTCGCCTTATGCGTTTTTGTTCTCGTATTGGCATCCTTGGTGATATTTAGCGCCCTCTGATTATTTTGCGTATTTGATGGTGCTACATAGCCTTCCCGGTTTGGTGCCTTCTTTTGATAATTACTTACTTGCGTATTTGATGGTGCTACATAGCCTTCCCGGTTTGGTGCCTTCTTTTGATAATTACTTGTGATAATTATATGTGAAAACAACTTTATATTGTGCACTGCCACACAAGGGCAGGGATGGGTTCATAAGTGATGCAGCTTAGAAGTAATATAAATAAAAATTGCTTTTCATTCTTTAAAATGGACAAGCAAATTTTGGGTAAATTGTTAGGATGTCGTCCAGAACACCAGAGTCAATAAAATAGTTACACAGTTAGTGGTACAAGAGGCCAGGAGGTCTAAAGTAGTTTACGGTTTCACATTCAACAATATAGTGTTCTAGTGAATGCATTAAATGTTTATCACAGAGTTTACAATCTGAGTATTCTGGTAGTGGCTCAGCCTCACTAACCTGCCAGATGTGTCTATAGCCAAGGCGAATTACCACAATGACTACATCACATTGCCTGGTCCGGTTACTGTGCTGACCATACAAATACCTATTATTACAAAACTTGTCATAACTTTTAATACTGCAGCTTTCAGGTCTCTGGGCATTTCTTAGTTCTTCTAAATCTGAATTAATTTCTTTAATTTGTATGTTTCTAATAATTGCATTAGATAGTCCAAAGTCATAATCAATGTTTTCTTTCCTGCAAGCCTCATTGGCCAATCGATGTACAAAGTCATGTTTTCCAACTCCAACATGGGATGGGATCCACACAAATTTTATACAATAGTTATTATCATTGGCAAAAATTACATTCCATTTAATATTACAAGCTACTTCAGACATACATTGTGATGGGTTGCAGAGCACTTTTAGTCACAGAATATCACTCCACCACCATTGAGCTTAAGGTATTCAGTGGCTAGATAAATGCCCAATAGCTCGGTCTGTGTCGTGCTTGCCCAGTTGTTCAATCTGTGTACTAGTTGAACAACCCGGACTGGCCGAAGGGCGAGTTCAACAAACCCCCTTCCCACCCCCAATATTATTTTTCGTCTTGGAGAATTGGGAGTGTCTCGCTGTTACGAATCTTAGAATCCTAGTAACATTACTCTTGATTCTTATATTACTTTATTGTCTTGTTCTATAATTAATATAGCATCCAGTTGTATGATATGAGATTCTTGTATGTTATAGCATGCTGTAGTGTGCCTGAGTTGCATTATGTTGTATGAGGCTTTTGTGCTAGATTTTCATGTTGGTTCCTCCGTGTGGACGGTTGACCATATTGGGATGGGGCCAGCGTGGGAACTTGTCAAGCGAGTGTTTATAGTTCAACCTTGATTAATTCATATTATTGTTTGCTAGTATATTATATTGAGTATTGTACCAGTATTTAATACTCTCAAGATTAATAATGATTTAAATATTAATACTACATTTTGTTAGTAGAATTTCCGCAATGTTTATGCGGATGTTTAGTTATTATGGTAGACGCTTGTCTTGCGAACCGACGCATGGGCAGAAGCGTGGCGGCTATGGTCGAGAGGAGTAATGTGTTTAAGTCATTGGTCACTGTTATTTTAGCTAATAATAGGTTAATTATCTGGTTAGATGATTGTGTATATCCCATTTATTATTCCATGTGCTGGTGATATTGCTCATGTCTCGATAAGGAGTTTTATTTATGATATTGCATGCTAAAGAATATTTCTGGCTATTATATTTATCATTTAATTGTTATGTTTGTCCCTCTTAGTGTAAATATATTGTTCTCTATGCAGTGATGTATCTATATCCCCCTAGACTTATGTTAGCAAGGCCGATTTAATATTTTTAACTGCGGGGAGAAGAATTATTTAGTCTCAAGGGTGGTAACACTCGCATACCTTGGTGTTCATAATTCTGGGATGCAAAATAATCCTTTCAGTTACTGAAAGTGGGAAAAACTTAAAAAAATTAATGTTCAAAACATGAACAAAAACGAAAATGATAATGAACAATAAAAAATAATGAACAAAATCGAAAAATGTTAAACTGAACATTTTTGGAATATCAAGTTTTTTCCAACATTTCGAACAAATTCGGAAAATTTCAATTGAACAAATTCGGAATTTGTTCAATTGAACATTTTTCGAATTTGTTCAATTGAACATTTTTGGAATAGTTTTTCCAAAAAATCGGAAAATGTCGGAAAATGTTCAATTGAACAAATTCGGAATTTGTTCAATTGAACATTTTTCGATTTTGTTCAATTGAACATTTTTGGAATAGTTTTTCCAAAAAATTCGGAAAATGTTCAATTGAACAAATTCGGAATTTGTTCAATTGAACATTTTTCGATTTTGTTCAATTGAACATTTTTGGAATAGTTTTTCCAAAAAATTCGGAAAATGTTCAATTGAACAAATTCGGAATTTGTTCAATTGAACATTTTTCGATTTTGTTCAATTGAACATTTTTGGAATAGTTTTCCAAAAAATTCGGAAAATGTTCAATTGAACAAATTCGGAAAATGTTCAATTGAACAAATTCGGAAAATGTTCAATTGAACAAATTCGGAAAATGTTCAATTGAACAAATTCGGAAAATGTTCAATTGAACAAATTCGGAAAATGTTCAATTGAACAAATTCGGAAAATGTTCAATTGAACAAATTCGGAAAATGTTCAATTGAACAAATTCGGAAAATGTTCAATTGAACAAATTCGGAAAATGTTCAATTGAACAAATTCGGAAAATGTTCAATTGAACATTTTTGGAATAGTTTTTCCAACAAATTCGGAAAATGTTCAATTGAACAAATTCGGAAAATGTTCAATTGAACATTTTTCAATTGAACATTTTTCAATTTTGTTCAATTGAACATTTTCGGAATAGTTTTTTTTCAACAAATTCGGAAAATGTTCAATTGAACAAATTCGGAAAATGTTCAATTGAACATTTTTCGATTTTGTTCAATTGAACATTTTTGGAATAGTTTTTTCAACAAATTCGGAAAATGTTCAATTGAACAAATTCGGAAAATGTTCAATTCCGAATTTGTTCAAATGAACAAATCTGGAAAAAACTTGATATTCCAAAAATGTTCAATTGAACATTCGGAAAATGCAATTATTAAATAAAATGCAGAATTTTTGGATTGTTTTATTAATACTATATATTAGAAAAAAGTACCAAACGATGTATATCCAAATTGCAAGAGGCCAACACCTGGATCTCCCAGTGCCTGGACCAGGCACAGGCACGGTAGCGTGGATGACCAGATCGTCGGCCACTCCAGACTCGCAGTTCATCTCCACCGTCTGTAGGCGCCAGCTTCCCCGTGGTGCCCCGGTCAGGAGGAGAGACTCAAACATTTTAGGCCGCACTGTCCTCCAACACCAGCTCGGGTCCACCTTAGGCCTGGTCTGTCGCAGATTCCTATTTCCTGCCTCTCAATTCCGATCTTCCTCCATGGCCTGGATAACGACACGCCGCCCTCCGCCAAACATTCCACTTCCTGCAAGTCACCCATGAGTGTGGGTAACAGTCTTGAGAGTTCCTCCAGCTTTATCTGGATTGGCGAGGACAAACGGACCGTTGCTGTAGCTACCCCTACCACACCTGGAGAGAAAAACAAATGTAAAATTAGCTATTATATAAACACTAGGAGGGAACGAGGTAATAAGGGTGGAAAAATCCGTCCGTTCTCTAGATTCATATAAATATTGCCAAGCCAGACATGTTTGAGCCCAATCCTCCTAACCTATAGAGGCCAATGGTCAATGCATTAATATTGGTACCCTGTACTTTAATATAGTCTACCAAGTTGCATTTATAACAAATTGATCTTGTTAAAACTGCATCTCGTCTAATAAAATAAATGGTGTGTGTGTGTTCAGTGTTTCACTTTACACATATTTGTAAAGAACCGTAACAAAACACTGTACAAAGGTCCACAACGCATGTAAATCTGTTCCTGGCGCAGCTCAAAAGGTTAGTTTAGTATTTTACCTGAAATTCCTTCCATTATACATCAGATTAAAAAAAATACATTAAGCAACCAATAGTGAATTCTATCCGCAAGACCAGTACCAGGATTCAGAGAACTTACATAACTACTTGCTACATAATTATTTGCATACGTACTTAGTGAACCGTGTCCACTACGGGCTCACCATAGCCCGTGTTACTTGGAACTTTTGTTCCAAGTAGCTAAATCTATAACAACATATCTTGACTAGGTCACAACAGATTAAATGTTTACTATAGTAAGCAATAATTAGACTTTTCGGTTATCTTCATACCACAAACAATAGGTGTTTTCCTATCGGTATCTGAACTTATTTCTGGACGTAACCAGAAGGGATAGCAGCGTGTGAGCGGGGCGATACAAAGCTATTTCCTTTGAGCTGTATTATGAACAGATTTCCATGCACTGCAGACGTTTATTGTGCACGGCACTATCACTGCTTTTGTCAAGTGTAAATATTGTTCCACACATTGTGTAAAGGTGAAACGGTGAACACACAAACCATTTAACATGATCATAACGCGCGCTCCTACAAGGCAACTAGGCAAAACTGGATCACCACAGTCCACGGACACAATGATCCCTTCAATCAGCTTCCTTTCAATGTGCATGAACCCTCCCCCCCCCCAAAAAAAAGGATATTACAGTATTTTTTTCGTGCGCAGTGACATCATTTATAATGGCTATATTAAGAGTTAAGATCAACTCACTTTCCTCTGGCTCCTTGCAGCATCAAGATCAATGAGATTCTCCTCTGATGAGTTCCCATCTCATTGCCACCAGATCTTCTAAAACCATTATGTCACGTTCTCTCCAGTTGCAGCATCTAAAAACAGATAATGTGTTATAAGTAAATGGTAAGTACAGTACATTATATAAATAGGATATAAAGCAAGCACAGATGACTTGTAAACCAACCCGTCCTCTTAACAATAACGTCACTTTTCGCTCGTATGCGCACTATGGCCAAATTTGGACGTAATTTGAAATGAAATCGACTCACAAAAGTGACGTACTGTTCTGTTTTCTGTTTGAGTCGTTCCACTTTCTCTGCAAGGTTAGAAGAGGCAACTTTTCATTAACGTTTTTCATAACGTTATGAAACTTTATGAGAATTTCCTGCCCACCTAACCTATCAGAGGACCCTTAACTTACTGTTGTTGAAAAAAAAAAATCCCAAATTTATTTTCATTTTCAAATTACGTCCATATTCGGCCATACGGGTAAACGGCCAAAAGCGACGTTCGTTTTAAGATAAACCGACAACAACATGAACAGCTACATTATTCCTTTGGAGTGAGTACTGCCCCGTCACAAAAATCCTTATCATGACCCCTTCCAAGGGTTTTATATAGTAGTAATGGCTTGGCGCTTTCCCCTGATAGTTCCCATCCTCCAGCTTCTGATAAAAGTTTAGTTGACATGTCGAGGGAAATAACAGCCGATGCCTTCCATTCACCCTTACATTTGGAGGCCTGGTCGACGACCGGGCCGCGGGGACGCTAAGCCCCGGAAGCACCTCAAGGTAACCACCTGTCCATTTTGATGCGTGCGGCCCTTTTGCGTCGGTCCGGTGAGGGTTTTCGTTTTGAGACTGGCGATTTAGACCTTGCATGTCTGGCGTTACAATTTTTCGGTAGTTTCTCGTCCCAGCTACTCGACCTTTCATTTCTCACCCGTGTGTTGGTAGTCTTCCGCTTTTTCCAGGAAATCGCTAGGAATCGTGTCTGTCATCCTCACTCTCAGGCTCTGTAGACAGAGCAAAAGGAAAATAAGAAAACCCACGGAAAAGGAGACAATACAGGGAGGAGGCAGAGCCACAGGCAGACGAAGACGAGAACCAAGGTGGAGAGACCCAACTCAAGGCCCTCACAAGGAATTTAACACCCATGAACATTAACAAAATCATTAACATTAAGATACAGGGTCACCAGAACCCTGTTAGACTGCCATTTCCCCCCCCCCCCCGGCCCAAACATCACCCAGGATATGATACCAAACAGCCACCAGGGCGGCGTACTGCCCAGCATCATGGGCACTGCAAGCTGCCTAGACGGTTCGATTCCTGGGCAGGACAGAAATTGTTGGGCACGTTTCCTTTTACCTGATGTGTCTGTTCACCTAGCAGTAAACAGGTACCCAGGAGTTAGGCAATTGTTACGATGTGGAAATTCAGCATTTTGACATATTTAGGGGGAGCGGGGCATGGATATGAGGCCAAGATCAGGCTTTCTGACGTCGACAACAGAAATAATTAAGTTCTCTTCTCCCTCTTCGCCCTTACATCATCACACACAGAGATCACACTAACGTGATGCATCAAATGAACAAATCCACAAGGGCCGTAACGAGGATTCGAACCTGCGTCCGGGAGCATCCCAGGCACTGCCTTAATCGACTGAGCTACGACAGGGTAAAAGGGTTGAAACGGAAGTTCTACTGAACTTACTGGATTTAGTAAGTTAGTACACTGATGTAAGGGCGACGAGGGAGAACGGCCTATTGACATAGCTCGGGTGCAGGGGGAGGGGGGTGTAAAAATCCTGGTTTGTGCCTCGGAGAGGCTACGGGATTAAGTTCTCTCTATAACTCCCGTTGTCTTTTTGAAAAGAAATATCTTTACTTGAACGATCTGAACTACCTAAACTAATTAAATAAACCTAAACTATCTTGACCAATGTATTTTAATTACCAGTATAATTCCACTTTTTATCTTTCGATTAGTACATATTCTGTCAATTCTCACGTTATTTGCTAACTTTAGTATTCGTATTTCCTCATCCACTCCCTCCCATCGTTTATGTTCCCGCATTCATCTCATCTGCCTTTGGCGCCACTTTCATCCCATCCGTCTCCCGTGTGTGCTGCTTCATCCATTCACCTTTCGTCTCGGCCACCCTAAGTTTCCCGCCCAAGTTGAGCTCAGACCGTCAGCACTGTTGTCTTAGATTGGTCGCCGGCAGCCGCTCACGCCCTCAACCAGCTACTTAACACACACACACACACACACACTAATATATATATATATATATATATATATATATATATATATATATATATATATATATATATATATATATATATATATATAGTGTGTGTATACGTATATAACGAATAAATCTCTCAACTGATATAATAGAGAAAGACATTCCTCAGTCTGGTCATTATGTTGTATCTTTAATAAGTACACTGATCCTGAAAAGAATGAAGAGTGAACGCTAGTTTAACAAACAGTTCAAAGATCGAGTGCATAAAAACCGCCGGGGAATCGTCGACAGCCAATAGAAATTTAGGACTCGTCTTTGGCGCCCAAAAAAGCTGGCGGGTAAATTCTCATCCACCAATAGGAATCAGGAACGGCCTGTGATGCTCCCCCGTTGTTTACTTAATTGGTCGCTGGGGAGCTGCGCCGCGAGACACCCAATGGTTGCTCGAGCTGGATGTAAACCCCGCCCATGACAGTTGGGCCACGCCCACTGTTCCCAGGGGAGGGCTCAGTCGCAAATCAACCATGAGCGGAGGTTTGTCTCCCGCAGAGCGAACACATCCATGTCTTAAAATATTTTAGGACAGTGATGTGTCTAACTGCTGTATGCGCTGGGTCATACTTGTGGTTATAAACGTTCTCCTATGTGAAGAAAATAGGAATGAAAGAATATTGGGCTATGAATATTATTTTTGTAAATTTCTTAAAAGGAATTTTTGTAAATTTTGTAAAAAGTGGAAATATATATATAGACCTATTTTCACTAACGTAGTGAAAATACGGAACACTTCATTAGAATATTACAATATTCTAAACTCAAATTGTCTTAAATAAGTATTTCAGACGGAGGTAAATGCATTTAGAACAGGAAATACCTACGTCGATAGCCTATTTTACAATGGACACGCATTAATGGCAGCTATGAGAGTACAGAATAAAGAGTCTCTTGGGTGTACAATACAAATTGTTTAGATTCTAAACTCTTATTGTATCAAAGACAGGCCTACTTGCTGTCCCAGGTATGCGATTGCCCGTCAATATTAAAATTATTCCACCTTGATAAATAAACCGTGAATAGGTGTTTATATAAATATGAACTCAATTTTTACAAATATATATATATATATATATATATATATATATATATATATATATATATATATATATATATATATATATATATATATATAGGCCGAGAAGTATTTATCACAAGAAGTCGCCAAGCCGGGGAGACCATGCCTATAGGCCTACAAGCGAGAAAATACAAATACGACCTATATACACATATATATACACGCTATGCGACTATTCTACTTTAGAGTGAATCACACTGAAAAACACTGCTAAAAAGAACTCTTCACATTTTACAAATAAAATGATAGCGTGTAGACTGACTTTCAGGAGAAAATATATATATATTCCTTCTACCCACCAAAACATTCATAACTACCTCTCACACAATGAAACAAGCGACATGGGTGATGACCAAACCCCCACACATCACAAGATGGAGAAGCGGACGACGTTTCGGTCCGTCCTGGACCGAAAATGATCAAGTCGCGATAATGGTCCACACGATATAATGGTCCAGGACGGACCGAAACGTCGTCGCCGTCGTCTCATCGTCACATCTTACACCTCACTCTACGATTCACCTACCCTCCTTAATCGTAGAGAGCGCTGAAGGATACAGTGATTGTTGCCTCACTCCGGCTTCTAGCTGTCCGTCAGGACTTCCATCTTCCCTCTAGATCAATGGAGGACCATCGAGCATTTCAGCCACGTTATTGTGACGTCTGCAATAACAAAGCGATTATTTGCAATCATCCATTTGCAATCACAATCACAATAACCCGGGCGAATCACTTTTGTAATTTACACGATATTATTAAATATTAAAAGCAAAAGTAGTCCAAACAAAATTACTATAATGTTGCCCACTTTTGAAAATACAGAGCTTGTATAATATTAAATAAATGAATAACACGCCTGTGTAAATCAGGAATAAAGTAACACGTGATGAATAATGTGAAAATGTATAAACAGGTGAGGGACTAGAACAAGGAAGTGCTCAAGTAATTTTGACAGCTTATATTATATATATATATATATTTGTGAACATACAATGTGTACCGAGGAGATCAGTGTGTCAGTATATAAAGTATACATGTTGTATATTTATCACCTTGAAGCGATAATGATATAAGCATGAAGTTAGTATAATGCATATAATGATAATTTATGTATAGTATCTGACGTCGGATAATGCTGAAGGAACACGTCAGTTACAAAACAAGAGAATCCGGATTGATGTGGAGAACCCGCAGCCTCATACAAGCCGAGTTGCTGCATGGTATACACCGGGGTTCGAACTGGGGCGGTCTTGCCAGTCTTCACATCTACATAAATCCGGGAGATCCATGAAGAGTCACATCCTTGATTGACACTGAAATTCACGAAAAAAGAAATTCACGCGCACTCAAATACACACACGCACACACTTGGCGGGACCAGAGAGCCAGAGCTCAACCCCCGCAAGCACAACTAGGTGAGTACACACACACACACACACACACACACACACACACACACATATAAGCGCACACACCTATACCTGTATTTACTTAGGGAACACATATGAAACTCATATATTAAGCACGTTCAAGGATTTGCCACAGTACAGGCATCTAACATAAGAGAAATGAGCTATGAGAACAAAGTGAACTTAGACTACCGACACTGAGACAGTATGACGAGATATGATCACAACATACAAGGTACTGAGGGGGATCACAGCCTTAAAAGTAGAGCATGACCGAGTACTGGAACGTCTGGAGATATAAATGTCGCATGTACCATGAGGCGGGGCTTCAGAGCTGAGTCCCGTTTTCAGTAGACACGACCAGATTGCCCCACACACACTGTGTGTGTGTGAGTTGCACACACACACACACAGTGTGTGTGCGTGTGTGTGTGTGTGTGAGTTGCACACATACTGAGCCCAGTAGGCTCAGGAATCTGTACACATCAGTTGATTGACGATTGAGAGGCGGGACCAAAGAACCAGAGCTCAACCCCCGCAAGCACAATTAGGTGAGTACACACATACACAGTCGGGTTGATTGTCCTATAGGCTGTACTACAACCCGTTCTATTATAATTACGTCGTTTTTCACTCGTGGCCAAAATCTATTTCTATGGCCAAAAATGGACGTAATTTGAAATGAAATCGGCTCACGAAAGTGATGTACTGTTCCGTTTTCTGTTTGAGTCTTCCAGCTCAATGAGCCACACCAACATTTGAAGAAATATTTACAAATTATATATTTTTATCTGAAGGAACCCATCCATCAAACTCAATTTGTTTTTTAAGGCACTGACTTTTCACTGGCCACTCCAACTTTTCCAAAAATATAAGCTTATACATACATACATATACATACCATCTATGTATACCATACCATACCATACTATGTAGCAGCTCTACAGGACAGAATAAAACCATTTGTCAGAGAAAGCAAGAGACCTCCCTTGCTGGTCTATTGGAATTTTGAAGGAACTGCTGTCACAAAGAGATGGCTAATTGACAGGCATTTTGAGTCTTCTATAAGTCAGATCTATGTTGCATGAACTATGCAACATGTTGGGAGGGATTTTGAACCGGGATTGCCCTACACTCTCTTGATTGAGAATGCTGAGATGTGGAACATTTTTTGTATGAAGTCATTGAATGATGGGTTTACATTAGTCCTTTAAATTGTATTCTTATCGATCTACAATCTTGTTATGTTGTTTTTAAATATACAGAATAATGATTTCGCTACCTTGCCTACGCTCGGACCCAGACTTCGCCATACAGCACCTTGCCTACGCTCGGACCCAGACTTCGCCATACACCACCTTGCCTACTTTCAGCCCCAGACCTCACCATACAACACCTTGCCTACGCTCAGACCCAGACCTCACCATACAACTTGCCCACGCTCAGACTCAGACCTCACCATACAACTTGCCCACGCTCAGACCCAGACCTCACCAAACAGCACCTTGCCTACGCTCGGACCCAGACTTCGCCATACAGCACCTTGCCTACGCTCGGACCCAGACCTCACCAAACAGCACCTTGCCTACGCTCGGACCCAGACTTCGCCATACAGCACCTTGCCTACGCTCAGACCCAGACCTCACCATACAGCACCTTGCCTACGCTCAGACCCAGACCTCACCATACAACTTGCCCACGCTCAGACTCAGACCTCACCATACAACTTGCCCACGCTCAGACCCAGACCTCACCATACAGCACCTTGCCTACGCTCTGACCCAGACTTCGCCATACAGCACCTTGCCTACGCTCAGACCCAGATCTCGCCATACACCACCTTGCCTACTTTCAGCCCCAGACCTCACCATACAACACCTTGCCTACGCTCAGACCCAGACCTCACCATACAACACCTTGCCCACGCTCAGACCCAGACCCCACCATACAGCACCTTGCCTACGCTCGGACCCAGACTTCGCCATATAGCACCTTGCCTACTCTCAGACCCAGACCTCACCATACAACACCTTGCCTACGCTCAGACCCAGACCTCACCATACAGCACCTTGCCTACGCTCAGACTCAGACCTCACCATACACCACCTTGCCTACGCTCAGACCCAGACCTCACCATACAACACCTTGCCTACGCTCGGACCCAGACTTCGCCATATAGCACCTTGCCTACGCTCAGACCCAGACCTCGCCATACACCACCTTGCCTATGCTCAGACCCAGACCTCACCATACACCACCTTGCCTATGCTCAGACCCAGACCTCACCATACAGCACCTTGCCTACTCTCAGACCCAGACCTCACCATACAGCACCTTGCCTACGCTCAGACCCAGACCTCACCAAACACCACCTTGCCTACGCTCAGACCCATACACCACCTTGCCTACGCTCAGACCCAGACCTCACCATACACCACCTTGCCTACGCTCAGACCCAGACCTCACCATACAGCACCTTGCCTACGCTCAGACCCAGACCTCACCAAACACCACCTTGCCTACGCTCAGACCCATACACCACCTTGCCTACGCTCAGACCCAGACCTCACCATACAGCACCTTGCCTACGCTCAGACCCAGACCTCACCATACACCACCTTGCCTACGCTCAGACCCAGACCTCACCATACACCACCTTGCCTACGCTCAGACCCAGACCTCACCATACACCACCTTGCCTACGCTCAGACTCAGACCTCACCATACACCACCTTGCCTACGCTCAGACCCAGACCTCACCATACACCACCTTGCCTACGCTCAGACCCAGACCTCACCATACACCACCTTGCCTACGCTCAGACCCAGACCTCGCCATACACCACCTTGCCTATGCTCAGACCCAGACCTCACCATACAGCACCTTGCCTACTCTCAGACCCAGACCTCACCATACACCACCTTGCCTACGCTCAGACCCAGACCTCACCATACAGCACCGGATAACAACGACATCTCTACCCAGTTCTCTCCGCCCACCGCCTTATCCATCGTTTGATTGGCTTCCATCCCCATTTATTCCCTTGTTCCTTAAGTTTGACGGCCCCTATATTCCTCCGACCCTTCACCTCAACCCACACAACATCACTTCCACCGCGTGTATTCATTCTTTTCCTGAAGATGTTCCAGAGTGGAACAAAACGTTGTAGAAAATAAATCCTTGAACACAGTTAACTCATTTAGAACTTCGAAGCAAAATGCAATTATTCTATAGAAAAATAAGTACCTTCGGCACTTTAAATGTTGGTTTAGACAACATTTTGCCAGCATGATAATCAAAATGTTTGCAAATTGATTACATATTTATTAATTTAAATTAATTTCAAATGTAACATGAAATAATTCTCAATAACCGGGAAGAATGACTACAATGACCCGATTGTTTAAGGGAATACGTAAGGCAGAACTGCAGTTCAGAGCCTGTAGAAAGCTTGCAGTATTTGATCTTGAGGTTATCTTGAGATGATTTCGGGGCTTTAGTGTCCCCGCGGCCCGGTCCTCGACCAGGCCTCCACCCCCAGGAAGCAGCCCGTGACAGCTGACTAACACCCAGGTACCTATTTTACTGCTAGGTAACATGACTGCAGATTCTATGCAATTCACTTAATGTTAATGTCTTCAAGCAACTTAGATGCAAGGGTTTACCGAGACTATAATGAGTTTGGTATCAATTACCTCGTGCACGACAACCATTATTAGCTTCTTATGAACTTTTAGGACGATAAACTTCGTTCCAAAGATAAAAACATTAGAAACAACAACATCAATTGGGAGTAAAAAATAAACCATCACATTATATTTTCTACTGGGTCAACATATATTCCGAAAGAGCCCGCCCTCTAAGCAAATTCATTACCATGATAAACCATACTCCTGCCCTCAAACCACCTGGATAATTATCGATATATTTTTGATGGTTTAAAAGACTATTATGGTTTCTGTAATAGTCTACAGGTAAACTAGCAAGTAAACCTTTGTCCTGAACAGATATTACTCTCCAGTTATAACTTTACTGTACTATAAATAGTTGGTTTAAATTAAAAATTATGCACTGAAAACGTTTTCTTTGAACAATGACTTTGTGTACGCGGAATTTTCGGTACCACTCAAATAGCTTCCGAATGCCATACATCATCATCATCAATAATACACCATATTAATGAAACCAAACGTAATAAAACCGAACCTAATCAAAGCTTAACCTACAGTAACCTTAACCTAACCTAACCATGG